ACCAGAGAGACTGGTTGGCCACCAGGAGGTGCCTGAGGCATGGAGCAGCGGTGAAAGCCAAAGAGAGTTGGTCCCGGACGCCAGGCAAAGACGGGCAGATAAGCGCTGACAGCAACTATGGTGAAATTAATAAAATTCCAAAATATACCTTCCTCCAGTTTGACTCATCTTGAGCCAGAGAGATTTCTGAAATCAAAGCTTATTATCCCATCTCCATCATAAAAGATTAATCAATAAGATCTTATATAATTAGCATATTGCTGTGTTGATCTAGTGTAAAGACTTCCTTCTGTCACAACTGAGTCGAACTATGGGAACAGTTCCAGTGCTTGGTGTGGGGATTTATGACTGCTGTGTTGTATCTAAAGCAGGGGTATTTGTCATTTCTAAGTATTGGTAATTCACTATGCAATTCATTCTAGGAAAAATACATTGTGTGAAACTGATTTGTGTACAGCCTTAAGATTGAATCCCACGGAACATTACAACTGTGAATAGAATACAACATTCAGAAGTGTCTGAGTGAGCAAGTGTACTTAACAGAAAGCTCTATAAATAAAATCATCTAATATTAAAGTATGCAACTTAATTTTCGATTGAATCTGTTGCACTAGAAAGTTAGAAATGAAATTCTTTGAGCATAGTTAACATGTGACATAATATTCTAGTATTATGCTCCATTGCACTATTTCTAAAGTCTAAAGGCTGAGCCAGTCAGAATCAAACTCATGGCAGTCAGCAGAATTAGTCTGCAATATTGCATTCTAACCACTATGCCACCATGGCTCTTAAGCACAATTAAGCACAATCCTACAAAATCACTTCTTAAAACAAGATTTCATGAATGTTTCTCTTACTACACTAGTTCAAATCCTGATGCCATAAATGAAAAACTCTTTTTGAACTCTTGCCTTTCTGATTTTATGTTTATATTTTATGTTTATGAGATCTAAAAAAGTGGAATGAACATATAGTTTCTTTATAGTGGAAAAATATTTTGATGTTTGAAGATTTAAATTCAAAACCAGCAATTTGAACTGGCCCCAGAAAAAATAACTGATAGCCAAAAAGAAAAATTAATTTTAATATGAGAATTAATAATTCTATCAGAACACTTACAGTTTTCTATTACATCGATCTATGTTTTGGGACCAACTTTAAGGCAATATTACACAAAGTTAATAATAATAATAATAATAATAATAATAATAATAATAATAACAAC